GACGCATGTGATAGAGAAGGTGGGGACAATGAGGGTGCACACATAACTTTTCCTTGCAGGCTCTGAGGTGTAAAAATTTTTTGAAGCTAAGCTTTTGAAAAATTACGTGAGTTTTTCTTCATATGTTTGTATACAAAATGCGGGAACATTTGAGTAACTTACAATCTGTACAACTTGACGTATTAATCTGTGATATTTGAATACAAAGCAAAAAGAACGAGGCAGATATCTATGAACTTTAAATTACTGTATGAAACACTGATTTTGGATCATAATGACCACAGACTGCTCAGAAACAACAACAGATTAAATAAGGACTAATTTCACAGGACTTGTTACCATGGACATGGCCAGGATAATAACAATTGCGCTTTATACCCTGATCTTACCTTTGTGCAAATTTGTGCAAACTATTAAAAAAATAGAAAAAATAATAAACAACGCGTAATGAGAATGTTACTACATACATGATCAAATGATTTACCAGGTGTTTTTAAAGATCTGTTAAGATTTTCAATACAGTCACAAGGTGTCAGCAAAAGCTTTCTGTGTATGCACAGTTTATCAACAGTTTATTATAAGCATTTTCAAGACAGAAATTTAAAATACTTCTATTTTATTTTCAGAGTATTATGTTTTTCATCATGCATCTATTATCAGTGACAAATCCTCAGTTTAAGTCTAATAAACATCACAAGTATGAACACAGCTAAATTTTAATCTTCATAGCCTGATCCTGCAAAAATACATTTAAAAGCACTTTTCAATATCTGATCATTAAGCTGAGCACAGAGATTATTTATACTCTTGTAAATACTGTAATTGAATACCTTAGTAAAATAATTTTGTGGATGTTTGCTGTCCAAACCCAAGATATTCCCCACAAAAGGAAAAGCTGTTGGTCCTGGAGGAAAGTTTGCTGGTTTCCTGTTTTTCAGATAGTCCGCGATAAGAAGGAACAGAAAAACAAACAAGAACAGACTCTTTAGGTCCAAGCTGAATAAGAAATGATAAAACCACATGGTTGCAGAAGAAGACAGGCTGCAGGTGAAGATTCAGGTTTGCTCCCTTGTTGTTTGGTGTTTCTTTCAGGCTTGCTTTAAGCCTGTTGTGTTTAACACTCCCACAACAGACAAATGTGAACAAAGAACAAAGTGTCTTACATAACATGCTGGAAACTACACCCCCTTGGCTTTGGACAGGGCAGATATGTCGAAATCAACTGTAATCTGACTCTTTGATGGCAATGATTCATCAGATATTTAGCAGTAAGAAAATATCTTTAGAGCCTTTTAAACTTTCTAACCAGAAAGTGTTTTGATATTGTGTTTTGTCCTTATTTTTTTGTTTGATTAATGCAGTTTTGATTTTGATTTAGCTGTGCTTCCATTTAAATTTTTAAAAGCCTGTTATTTTAGTTTTTATTACATGCTGGCATTGCAAAAAAGAAAAGTGGCATTTTATTATGCATTCATTTGTTTTTGTTTTTTTGTTTTTTTTTTGTTAGCAAAATATTTCTTGAACCACTGGGCAGTTTTGAATGAAATTCTCAGAAAGTAACCATTGGGTTCATAAATTCATAAATACAATTAAATCCTATTTAAAATGGCAGCCACAGGCAACTGACCTTTTATGGAGCTAAATCAGTAAAAGCTTACGCTGACATTGAAAAAAAGATTCGGAATTGAAAAATAAAACATTGTCATTGAAACTCAAAACCTACGATCATATTTTTATTTTACACTGCATATTTTTTTCAGTGTAACAAGTTTTCAATGCCATTGCGGAGTTCTCAGTTACAAGGCCCCTGAAAAGCTGATGTTGTTTTGACGTTGGGGGGTGGGTCTTCGTTGTGTTGAGTTCTTATATAAAATAAAGGTCCAGTTTCAGATGAATAATAAATCTCTTTATTTTTCCTCGTGTTACAGAAAACAACCAACTTCATGTCGTATCACAGAATTCCCTGGGTGTAGTGGTAACTCCTGTAATTAGATTACACCACATCCCCCTTTGCCAAGCTATTCAAACCTATCGTCCCTCCCTGTAAACACAAACCATGCTATAGGAAATACTAGCAGTTGCATTTGAAACATAAACAATTTGCATGTCATACCACCAAATCCCATTTCTTTCTTTTTAGGTTTTCTACTTTCAACACCTGTGCACCCCCCCAATGCAGTAATCGCCCCCACCCTCTCTCTCATTTGATTGACGTTGCACTGACTCATCCTGCTCGGACACTCTGACAGGGGAGGGGCTAGTAGCGCCTCTCAGGTAGCGGTTCGTGTTGAAAAACTCGATAACAACAAGTCTGTATTTTGTTGTCCCATACATGTCAACCTCTTCGGACGTTTACCTGTATAAAAAGCCTAAAAAAATCCATAAACTTTGCAAAAGAATCCATACAACTTGCACCCCCGGGGGGGTGGGGGGTCAGCCTGGCTGAGGACGAGAGCCCCCGCTGCGAAGCAGGGGGTAATGAGAGCAGAAATGTTCAAAACTTATTTCTACCGGCAGAACTGGTTGGAAGATGGCTATTTAATGCTATTTATTGTTTTTAAAATCATCCAGAAGAATTAATTATTATTATTTTTTAATAAGCCATGAAGAAGGGTGGGATTAAATAAGTTTTTTTACTTCTTCCC